CAGAGAGAAGGAGCAGAGAAGGATGAGGAGGAGAACCAGGGCAGGTGGCTGAGCGGCTGCATCAGTCAACCGAGCACGTCTCCTTTGTCCAGGTGGCCTCTCCTCCCAGGCCTGTCGCCCGTGCTGTGGGAGAGCGTGGTGGGTGGGAAGGGAGTGAAGCCTCCTGACATAAGCATCCTGCTGGGAAGTCCATTCAGATGGGCCCACTAGTCCTCAGAGCAACCCCCTGAGCTAGTGGTATGAACTAGGCAGTACAGTACCTTACTGTGGGCTAGGAAACAGGCAAAATGAAGGGAAATAACATGTCAACATCAGCCTTCTAGTGACTGGCAGAACTGGGGAGTGAACTCAGACCTTTCTGACCCCAGAGCCTAAGCCCTTAACCGCTGTATAGAGTGATGACAAGTCAGAGGGATATTGGGGTAGAAAGGAGGAACGGGGAGAGGTTTGCTTTGAAATGAACGATGTTCACTCTTAAAATGAACCTCGTGGGTGTGAGCTCCTGGAGGAGCAAGGTGATTCCTGGTGAGGACATAAGGAGACCAAGTTGGATGGGAGCCTTCAAGCCCGGGGCTTCTGTTTCAGGGAAACTGCTGACCCAGTAAGGGGACATTTCTGATCCTTGGTCCTAGGGAGCCGGCTCTTGGGAGCCCTGAAATCCAAGAGATATGTTGTCCTTATCTGGTGACTGTGGCCAAAGGCGAGGAATGAGGCAGTGGGGGCCTAGCCGTGGGGCTGAGAGTGGGCCCGGTTTTCTCTGATCAGCCGATCTGCCTGGGGGAAGAATGGGCTGAGGAGGAATGAGGTTCGGTGGGTGAGAACCTGCTTGCTGACGCGGTTGCCTCCTACCAAGAGGAGCGGCCCCCTCCTGGCCAGTACCTGGGTCTGGAGGATGAGGTGCCTGCAACCCTGGCAGAGAGTTCAGATGGGGACCAGTGGTCTGTCCTGGTCCCGGTAGGACTGAACCCTCACCATGGTGTTGACACAGAGCCCCCTGCCTTTTGCCAAAGCCCCAGGGTCTTCCTCGGATGGTCTGGGCATGTTCATGACCAGGTAGCTTTGGGGGGCGGCTTTGATCCTGGGTTCTGGTTCAGTCTGACTTGGGGCTTTTCTGAGTGCCCCGTGTGGATGGTGATGGGACAGTGGTTCTGTGGGTCTCTGAGCAAACATAACACGTGTTGTGCTGTGCTGTGTCGTGGGTTAAGTGTGGACATCTTACCCCAGATGCAGCCTCGCGGTTTCTGGATTAATTTTTGCTCTGCCAAGTGTGTGAGCCAGAATGACAAGTGATGCATGACGCAAGTATGGCTTCCTCCTGTCACCCGAAGCCCTCAGGCTGCACAGGCGTGTTTTTAACTGGGACATGTGCTCTGCAAATGCTCATGATCACAGCTCTTGCAACAGTGTTTAGATGTCATCCTTGCGTTTGCAGAAAGGGTGAAATCAAATCAAAGATAAAAATAGAGTATCTTCCCAGTCTGCATTCCACCCTTCATTCACCCCCATTTGGATTATACGTCTTCTTTTGGGGCAAAGTGCACCATTGTGTTTAGGCTCCTGGGCTCTGAAGGGTGGAGACTGTGACTGGGTTTGTCTGTGTGTTGTGTACTTTGCCCATGACTATTTGGTTGAGGGGGATAAAACTAGAACAAATGCTGGGGCAAAGGGCAAGTCAGAACCAGTTAGCAGTGATTTTTTTTTTTTTTAAGCAGTTATTTTTAATCCTTTACATTCATGGTGTGGGTCTCTGCTTTCTTTGTGAGCATGGAAAGGATGAGGCTCCTACCCTTGGGAGCAGTGTTCTCTCAACTCTTCACATTTTTCTTGGCCTCACTTGGGCTGCAGGTCTCTGGTTTTTACCCTGGTGGTGTCCTATCAAATGTGTGACAGAACTCAAAGGAGTGAAAATATAGGCTTCTGTGTCGACTGATGTCACACCAGCAACATTTCCTGGGAGGCAGAGATGAGCTGGGGCCCAGAGTCAGACAGAACTGGTTTGGGAGCCCAACTCTTATGCTATCAGCCAGTGTGACGTTGGCTGGGTACTGACAAGTTTTTCTCATTTTTGTCTTTGTTCTAACAGCTCGTGGACTAAGTGAAAAAATATAAGCTGTATTACATGCCCCATGCCTAGTAGATGCTTAAAAGCTAGTTGGCATCCTATCCTCTTCCCAACCCCTGAATCCCGCACCCATTTTCTTCCCTTACCTGGAAGTACAGCATGGTTTGTAGAAAGAACATGGTCATTAGTGGGAAGACCTGTGTGATTGTATCAGCTTGGTGTAGGTAAGACCTTCTACCAATATCCATTTGTCCATCCACTCAGCCAGCCAACATGACTGAGTTCCTGCTAAGGGACAGACTCGGGATCTAGGAGCTGGGTGTAGAGCTCTGCACGCTTGCTGAGCACGGCTTTCAGGAAGCTGGAAAAATACGTTCTGAAAAACAGAAGTGGCAGCAGCTTGTAGTTCAATCCCTGTGTTTTAATTTTCACGCGGGGCACGAAAGTACCGCCAAAGCCGACATCCTCCTGGAGAAAGGTCCCTGTGGGACAGCCTTGCCACCTGGCCAGGGCTGCCTCAGGCCCTTAAGCTGATTGCCCCCATCCTGAGGCTGGAAAAGCACTCATTCAGGCTTAGAGTGTGGATGGAGTGTGGGCAGAGGATGGAGTGGGGCCTCTGAGGGCTCAAGTGTGCAGCGTGGACCCAGCTGGGAGGACCTCCCTCTAGAGGCAGAAGATCACTGGGCATTAGGTCCTCCTCCATCAGGGTCCTTTGAGAATGACAGAATCCCAGAACCTTGAGTGATGTCCCATATCTTCCCTCATTCGTGCAAAAGGGACCCTCTGGCATCCTGTTTAACTGCTAGATCTGCAACTTCAAAGTGCTTAGGAAACCAGAGAGGATGTGCAGTGGCCCAGCTTCCCAGCTGTGAAGGGTACATTGCCCCTCTGTCTTTGGCTGGTTTTTACCCTCAACACCTTGGAGACCAGCAGGACTCAATTCTAATAGATTAATGTAAGTGAGGATCAGATAAAGCTCTCAGGACATGAAATACCTTCTCTCATGGAGGAGCCTTTTCTCATGACTTTTAGCCCTGAAGGGCAATCTAGGCCCCATGAAGGAGGCACTTCTTAGAGATACCAGGAGATCTGGTTTCTCAACTCTGTGTGACCCTGAACAAGTTACTAAACCTCTATTTGGTCCTCTAATAATGGGTTTCTAAGAAAGGATGATAAAGGCACTCAAACTATTGTTCAATCATTTCAAACCACAAATATCTCCATTTGTGTTACCTTTTGTATCTTTCTTTTCATTCTCCCTGCCCCCACTAGATTATAAAGCTCCTTGAAGTACTCTGCCATATACATCTCTGTACTCCCTCAGAAATCTAGCAGAATACATTTCAAAAAGCAGATGCTTTAAAGATCAGTTTGACTTGTTGATTGTATACAGTATACACTGGAAGAATGCTACTCTGAACCTGTTGATGGTGACTTCTGAGATTATTTCAGAGCTAAAAATCACTAGTGACTACCTTAAGTGGCTGTAATTGACCGGCTAGAAAACCAATTGGGATGATGAGCGCATTGGCACCTAATGATGTTAAAACTGTCCTGAAAGCAAATTGCTTTTCTACCTGCTGTTGCTGTCAAATTCAATAAAGGAGAAGTGGTACCTTAACACAAAAGAGTTAGCTACTCTCAATTCTAGAATTTGAATCTTGCATGAGTTTTCAGGCTATGTTCCAGTTTCCTCCTTGGTATTTCATGTGGCAGAAGGGTTTGGGGCATTGTATCACAGCTGGTCACTCCTGAATCATGGTGTTTCTGCTGTCAGAAATACCCAACTGTTAAGTCCCTGAAGTTAGAACTGCAGCGCTGATATGAGATGTTTCAATTTGTTGGGGTATGTGAGTATGTGTGTGTGTGTGTGTGTGTGTTTTTATAGCCAGTTTGCATGTGCCTATGTCCTGTGTATATAAATTTATGCAGTTGTGTGAATTCACACCACAGATGCTTTCTTTTTGTTTTTCCATTTATTTTTATTAGTTGGAGGCTAATTACTTTACAATATTGTAGTGATGAGTAATATTCCATTGTGTATATGTACCACAGCTTTCTTAACCATTCGTCTGCTGATGGGCATCTAGGTTGCTTCCATGTCCTAAAAATACGGAACGCTTCATGAATTTGCATATCATCCTTGGGCAGGGGCCACGCTAATCTTCTCTGTATCATTCCAATTTTAGTATATGTGCTGCCGAAGCAAGCACCACAGATGCTTTCTAAATGACAAAGTTACAGAGTGAACTTAAGCATTTACGTTTGTCAGTGTCGTCACAATGTTTGGCTTCCATCTCTCACTGAATACAAGTTCTTGGGGTTGTAGTGTATAGAATTTATCCCTCAGCTGGTCTTTCAGCTACAGGTTAACAGATTCAGTGAAATCAAGAATTTAACTGGAAACAAAAGCAAAACTAGCATTGTTTTACGTTACCATAGAGATGGGAGTATAAAAAATTCTTCTTCATTAGTTTGTTGTTAGGAAAAAAAAAAATGGCCTGCAATGAGAGCCCAGCTATAATCTTTTTCAATGGTTCCCTCATAGCTCAGTCAGTAAAGAATCTGCCTGCAAAGCAGGAGACCCAGTTTCGATTCTTGGGCCAGGAAGATCCCCTGGAGAAGGAAAAGGCAACCCACTCCAGTATTCTTGCTTGGAGAATCCCATGGACAAAGGAGCCTGGCAGGTTACAGTCCATGAGATTCCAAGAGTTGGACACGACTTGGCAACTAAACCACCATTGATAATGATAGTGGTCAAGGGTAGGTATGAGTTGAGCTGTCAATCAAAAGAAAGATCTCTGGTGTCTTGAGTGGGGAAACCACCCCTGTTTGGGTTATAAGGACTGGAAGTTGAGGATTGTTTCTTATTAGGAGTCTCTTAAATGTGTGCCTCTTGGCTATTGATACTACAATTGATTGTCTCTGTCTTCTATAGCTTGGAATTGCCATTGGGTTCTTGGTCCCTCCTGTCTTGGTACCCAACATCAAAGACCAGGACAAGCTTGCCTACCACATCAGCATCATGTTCTACATAATAGCAGGTGTGGCCACTCTGCTTTTCATCCTTGTCATCATCGGTAAGGTCATTAATAGACCCATGGGGGTCGGGGAGGCAGGGAGGTCCTGCTGACTTGGGTGAGAACCTTGTGAATATGGCCCTAGAACACCATTCTAGGTATAATGTATTTTATAAAACATGTCTATAGAAACTGGAAGCCAAGCTTCCAATGGTCTTCAAATGTTTTAGCCAGAGTAGTTGCTGCCCATACAATGTTAACTGGTCCTGGGTGCTTTGTGAGCTGCTCAGTCAAAGTTAGTTCTAATTACCAGTTTCTCAGTATGACCTTATTAGAATTAATGGGCAGCCTTGATCCTCTTGATGCAACTCTGCAGAGCACTTACAACATCACAGGCCCTGTGCTGAGTGTACCTGATCTCATTGACTCCAGTGGGAGTTCCTAGTATCAGTGTCTCTTAACCGAGAGAAAACAGTGACTTAAGAGGAGATAAGGAAATTATTCAAGATTAGATAGTGAGTGGCAGAGACTGAATTCTAGCCCAAGCTTCTAACTCCATAATCTACATTTCTGAAATAAAACAAAACAGGATTGACCCACAAACACTAAAACTCTCATATATTCACCCGAGAATACCTGGGGCCCACATTTTTTAATGTTTTGAAAAAAGGTGTATAGGATAATGCTCATTATGAAAAAACCTAGAAGATACAAAAAAGCATACACAAAAGGATGACCATTAACTTAGCCTAGAATTAGTTAATTCCAAGCACCAATCCCAGAGAACTACTATTGCTCCATACATATTTAATCATTGAGATGTTTGGTTAATATAATTTATATCATCTTTTATTATCTTAGTAATATCAGATGGGCTGTGATAAAGAGTGTAGAAGAAGTTTTCATTTTCAGTGAGTCAATTGTCTTTAAAGGTTAACCAGCTTTCATTTAATATTTGAAGACTCCACCATACACGTTAAAGTTTTCCTTCCCGCCCACCTGCCAGCCTCACCTCCAGAGTCAAACAGTTTTTTGATCATGGACCTCATCCAACTGATCTCACTGTGTTATTCCCTCCCTGGGGTCCACACTGAGAGGAAGGGCTTTTCAGAGTTCACAGAAATTCTTGGACGGAGAACCTGGTGTTCCTGGAAAGATGAGAAAGGTGCTCCTTTGAAGCTGGGTTGAGAACAGGAAAGAACATCTTCAGACAGCCTTGAAGTTTCAAATTATTATGTGCTCAGCTCCAAATTCTTGTGTTTGTAGCACGTGAGGGCCTGGTCCTTTGCAGAGATCCTGCAGTTGGGATCTTTCTTCGCTTTACATTTTACTAGTAAGCACTGACCGTTGCTCACTGAATAAAGAACTGAAAAATCTTATCCAAATTGTGGTTTTTGGTTGCCCAATCCTTGAACAAACAGCTATTGTTGCCGAGATAAAAAAAAAAACAAAACACCTCTTGCCTTGATTTCTTTCCCCTGATAGAAGCGGAGGTGAACAGGTCAGACAATGATTGAGAGGTTCCCAGTGGGTGGGGGAAGTTGGCCAGGACTATTTCCGGAAAGGAAGAAGAAAGGCTCTGAAGTCTGGGCTGGAGCTTTATCTGGGTGGAGCGGGAAGACCTTTGATGTTCAAGAGAGTAAACCTCATTTCCAAAGCTTCCTCTAACTGGAGACCATCTCCTGACCTTTCAGGAGCATTCTCATGGAGCCTGGGGGTAAAGATGGTGCTTTAGCTGGGGGACCAATTTAAGCAGACCACTGGTTAAACTGATGTGGCCCCCAGAGAACCGAACAGCCGTCAGTGCAGTGAAATGGATTGTACCAGCTGTACTGAAATCAGAACATAAAGAGAATGGTTTTCCCACTGTCCCTCCCCGGTCCTTCCTGTCAGAGGCCCCGTCCTGCAGGAGCATGTGTTAGTCCTCTGGTTTCTCAGGAGGCAGATGTCTGATTCCCACTCTGAGAAACTAGGGATGGACTCGAGGTCTCTCCAATAGGAGCAGCTCCTTTCCCTTACTCAGGGAGTGGCAGCATGTGCCAGGCTCTGTGCTCAGCATGGGCAGCCCAGCCCTTTAGCCCTTTCCCTGGGAGGAGCTCTGGTGCTGAGTCCTCATCTGGGCTCACTAATCCCAGAACCTCAGCTCTCACTTCCTTTCTGTCCACTGGTTACCATGGGATTTTTCAGTGCTCTGCCATTTGGTATTTGCCATTTATTACAGGACTCCTTTATCCTTGAGCCCTGCCTGGAAAGTCCAATGATCGCAGCTGTCCAAAGGTCATTAAGAAAAAGTAATCAAAAGACCAGCCCCTCAGCCACAGACAGTGAGATGCAGCTTCAAGAGAGGAGGTTATAGAGGATTTAATCAAAGAATTAATATTTCCTTTTGGCATCTGAGCCCCCTTCTCAGATGAGGGAGCCAACTCTCATCCATGTGTCAGCTCTGCAGGAGTAGGACCAAGGGATTTGCAATGATCTCTCTGTTTTTTTTTCCCTTTCAGTATTCAAAGAGAAGCCTAAACATCCCCCCAGCAGGGCCCAGTCCCTGAGCTATGCCTTGGCGTCCACTGATGCTTCTTACTTAAGTTCCATCATCCGACTCTTCAAAAACCTCAACTTTGTGCTGCTAGTCATCACCTATGGTAAGATGCACATGTGTCTAGTCATCACCTACGGTAAGATGCACATGTGTCTAGTCATCACCTATGGTAAGATGCACATGTGTCTAGTCATCACCTATGGTAAGATGCACATGTGTCTAGTCATCACCTATGGTAAGATGCACATGTGTCTAGTCATCACCTATGGTAAGATGCACATGTGTCTAGTCATCACCTATGGTAAGATGCACATGTGTCTAGTCATCACCTATGGTAAGATGCACATGTGTCTAGTCATCACCTATGGTAAGATGCACATGTGTCTAGTCATCACCTATGGTAAGATGCACATGTGTCTAGTCATCACCTATGGTAAGATGCACATGTGTCTAGTCATCACCTATGGTAAGATGCACATGTGTCTAGTCATCACCTATGGTAAGATGCACATGTGTCTAGTCATCACCTATGGTAAGATGCACATGTGTCTAGTCATCATCTACGGTAAGATGCACATGTGTCTAGTCATCACCTACGATAAGATGCACATGTGCATGGGGTGTGCTGCAACTGGGCATGTGAGACAAGAGACCTGACATTTCTGTGTATCTTGCTGTTTCCAGATCCCAAAGGTGTATGTAAAGTCGTCGTTTAGGGCTAAGCAGAAGAGCCAGCTGTGCCCCGGAGTCTTCCCTGTTCCTTTAAGTTCACCTAGGAAACCATTCCTTCCCCTGTCAAGTCACCCGGCAACATGCCGGCTGATCCTCCAAGTCTCATCCCAGTATGTCTGCTTTAAAGCAGTGTTAGGTGACTGTTCACTGTGCTGTTCTTAGTACATCTTTGGAGAAGGAAATGGCACCCCACTCCAGTACTCTTGCCTGGAAAATTCCATGGACGGAGGAGCCTGGTGGGCTTCAGTCCGTGGGGTTGCAGAGTCAGACAGGACAAGTCATCTCCAGATCTCTTTTCCCACAAACTAGGAACTCCCTCAGAGTAGGGCTTTATGTCTTTACCTGTATGATTCCTCAGCGGCAGGAGGGCTTATAGCCTGGTGTAGGTCCTCCAGCAGTTGTTAGATGGGTGATTGAATGAATGTATGGATGGATGTTTACATGAGTCTTGCTACGTGAATCGCTCTCCAGCCAATCCTTCATCTTCTAACTTGGCTCCCTTTTTGCCTAAATGCAAGAAAACATCCACAGTTCATGTAATTTTCTTGGCTTTGGTAAGGTAGGTGTCAGTCTTTTTGCTGGTATATTAGCTTACCTTTCCAGCAAGGTGTTTGCAGCATCTTCTTTCAAATGATTGATGGTAATGTTGTCCCAGACCAGGGCAAGGACAAAATCTCAGGGCATTCCATTAAAGGTGTCTTTACAGATCCACCCAGCTCTACCCTATTCACTCTGCCCATGTAACCCTCCAGTGTGGTGTGATTAAAATCATGAGAGTATATCATGCTCAATAACCAGAAGAAAAAAAAGATGTGAGATTGGTTTGACATGACTTATTCTTAGTGAAATCCCAGTTGGCTATCTGTTGTTCAGTTGCTCAGTTGTGTCCGACTCTTTACAACCCCATGAACTGCAGCATGCCAGGCTTCTCTGTCCTTCACTGTCTCTTGGAGCCTGCTCAAACTTATGTCCATCGAGTCGGTGATACCATCCAACCATCTCATCCTCTGTCATCCCCTTCTCCTCCTCTTTCCCAGCATCGGGGTATTTTCCAATGACTTGGCTATAAGCTTAGGTTTTCTCTAGGCTCTCTAACCATGTGTCTTTCAACAATAATAACATTTACTATATGCCAAGATTTTTTTATTTAACTCCCACCACACCAGTGTGCGGTAAGTGGTATTATTTTTCCCATTTTAACAGATGAGGAAACAAACTCAGAGAGATTAAGTAATACCTCAAGAACACACAGCTTTTAAAGGGCAGAGCCAGGTTTCAAACACAGATTTGTCAGACTCCAAAGCCTTAACCATGATTGTCTGTACTCTTTCCTTGAATTTTGCCAGGGCTTCATTTTAAGCTTATCAACGCCCTTTACCTGAGTTAAAGTGTTCAGCTGCTGAGGTATTAGATAAGAGGTGGTATCATCCACACTAGAGAGGCACACCTGATTTTCAGACATATGAATAGGTTAGATGAAATAGCCCAAGGTATCCATGTTAGTCTTCAAGGTCTGTGGTCTCCAATCCTCCCTTTCTCCACCTTCTCAGTTCTGAATGTGTCTGCATTCATTCGCAAAACAAAGTTTCTAATTCTCAGGGTGGCCAACTAAAGATAAAAATGGTGATAAAGTGGAGTTGCTCACCACTGAGAGATATTCAAGTGTAGGTAGAACCAACCACTTAGTGGGGATATTGTGGGGAATATCAGGCTATAGATGGATAGTGAAGCATAGTAAAACATTGGCCACCTGATGTGAAGAACTGGCTCATTAGAAAAGACCCTGATGCTGGGAGAGATTGAAGGCAGGAGGAGAAGGGGACGACAGAGGATGAGATGGTTGGATCTCATTGGAAAAGACCCTGATGCTGGGAGAGATTGAAGGCAGGAGGAGAAGGGGACGACAGAGGATGAGATGGTTGGATGGCATCACCGACTCAATGGACATGGGTTTGGGTGAACTCTGGGAGTTGGTGATGGACAAGGAGGCCTGGCATGCTGCAGTCCATGGGGTCATAAAGAGTCAGACACGACTGAGCGACTGAACTGAAATGTGATGATCTTTTGGTTCCCTTTCAGACTCAGGATTCCATGCTTCTAAGAACTTTCCCTTTTCCCCAGAATTAAACGTCTTGAGTGCATCAGCCTTTCACCACCATAAACCTCACTGCATTTGACAACAGGGCATTTGAGACCTACCATGGAATTCTAAGGCAGATAACTGCTTAATAAATATCTTCTCTGAGTGAGACTGGTGATGGTAGTATTAACCAGGCAGGGACCTCATTCCAGAGGTTTCGCTCTTCAGTGCTAGAGGCTGTTGATGGCAGGGTCAGGTCACTGACCCATGAAAGTAAGAAATAACACAGTGTATGAGGAGCAGCACTGTTTGATGTGGGCTCGGCTCTGGGCCATGCTGTGGGGCAAAGCAGCTTCTTTTTCTTCCATCTTGAACAGCTGGTTGCATCTATGGCCTTCAGTCTGGCAGAATGGTGTTAATTCTGTAGTTCTGGATACTCTTCCTTATCTATCTGGTTAAGTGATAACACAGAGAATAAATGGGTTAACGCTTCTGGGATGATGGAGTGAGGACTGTAGATCTTCTGATCCTCCATGAAAACAAAAACACTGGCAGACATTATCAGCATCAGTTATTTCAGGGTTCTTGACTAAAGGCTTAACCCAACGAGCATCTGTTCAAGACAAGTGGCTAAATAATGGTAAAGTAGCCGTAAGGAGCAGCAGCTGCACTTTGCTGGAGCAGCTATGAAGAGATACCCCCACGTTCATGGTAAGAGAAACCCAAGTAAGACAGGAGGTGTTGCGAGAGGTCATCAGAGGGCAGACAGACTGAAACCACAATCACAGAAAACTAGCCAATCTGATCACAGGACCACAGCCTTGTCTAACTCAATGAAATTAAGCCATGCCGTGTGGGGCCACCCAAGAAGGACGGGTCATGGTGGAGAGGTCTGACAGAATGTGGTCCCCTGGAGAAGGAAATGGCAAACCACTTCAGTATTCTTGCCTTGAGAACCCCATGAACATTATGAAAAGGCAAAATGATAGGACACTGAAAGAGGAAGTCCCCAGGTTGGTAGGTGCCCAATATGCTACTGGAGATCAGTGGAGAAATAACTCCAGAAAGGATGAAGGGATGGAGCCAAAGCAAAAACAATACCCAGTTGTGGATGGGATTGGTGATGGAAGCAAGGTCCGATGCTGTAAAGAGCAATATTGCATAGGAACCTGGGATGTTAGGTCTATGAATCAAGNAGAAGACTCTTGAGAGTCCCTTGGACTGCAAGGAGATCCAACCAGTCCATCCTAAAGGAGATCAGTCCTGAGTGTTCATTGGAAGGACTGATGTTGAAGCTGAAACTCCAATACTTTGGCCCCCTGATGCAGAGTTGACTCATTGGAAAAGGCCCTAATGTTGGGAAGGATTGGGGGCAGGAGGAGAAGGGGACGACAGAGGATGAGATGGTTAGATGGCATCACCAACTTGATGGACATGGGTTTGGGAAGACTCCGGGAGTTGGTGATGGACAGGGAGACCTGGTATGCTGCGGTTCATGGAGTCGCAAGGAGTCGGATACTACTAAGCGACTAAACTGAACTGAACTGAGCAAGCTTTGTGTTTTAACTTGTCCTATTCCAATCCTCCCTTCCAGACTCTGTGGTAGCCTTGAAAACCAGCAGCTTCCCAGACATGATGGCTGTGGAAACTAGCAACCTCACAGCCACTGGAGGGGGCCAAACAATTTTGGAGCCCCCCCGCCCCCCAACAAAGTCCTATCCCTGGCTCACTGTTTATTTGACTTCCGTTTCCCTGGAAAGGCTCCATTCAGAGGATTTGCCTATATTTGACCTGACTCAGAGTTTTCCCAATGGGAAATCACTATGTCCAGGGTATTTATTAAAAGCAGTCACTGTTTAACATCACAAATGCCTGAGGTTGCAATACCAGTTGGGGTCATCAAGAGGCTGGCCAAAGATCTTGAAAGGAAAATCTGGAGAATGAGATAACCAGGGGGCTTTGGAAACTTGTGACATATTCTTAGCAGTCTAGAAATCTGCATGCCCAGAGTTGTGCACATGCCCGGGAAAGACCCAGGGAAGTGCTAAGTCTCACCTCTGGCTGCACATGAAACTCTGGGTAAGGGGAAAGTGAAGCATAGGGCAGAGTTGGCACCACCCTGCTGAAGCATCACAGGCGAATCCCAATGAATACATAGAAGTCCTCAGCAAAGTGGGGAGACTTATGGTCTTAAGATATTTAAGGAAATCTCTGTCTAATCATTAGCCCTAAACTAAGTTAGTAGAGCAGAAACCAGTGGTTGCACATGACAGAGGACACAGACGTTACAA